GGAGGACTAGGAGGAGGAGCCTGACCAAGAACCTGCTGAAGGAGCGGTACGAAGTACGGTCGCGGCCGCGCAGCGTCTCCAGAACCAGCAGGGACACCAGTGGCAGCCCCAACGCCCGAGTCCTCAGCACCAGCAGCAGCTCCAACACCCGGGTCCTCAGCACCAGCAGCAGCGCCACCGGTCGGGTCCTCAGCACCAGCAGTAGCTCCAACGCCCGAGTCCTCAGCACCAGCAGCAGCTCCAACGCCCGGGTCCTCAGCACCAGCAGCAGCTCCAACGCCCGGGTCCTCAGTACCAGCAGCAGAGCCATTGGTCAGGTCCTCAGCACCAGCAATAGCGCCGCCGGTCGGGTCCTCAGCACCAGCAGCAGCTCCAACGCCCGGGTCCTCAGCACCAGCAACAGCGCCACCGCTCGGGTCCGCAGCACCAGGAGCACCACTCCGAAGACTGCAGCGCCGTGTGTACCACTCTCGGATCACCTGAATGGGGGGGAGCTCCTGGGTAGGAGGGGAAGTACTGGGACGAGCTCCAGAAGCACCTCTCCGGAGGCGGCAGTACTCGAGGTACCTCTCCTGCAGCTGCTGGGAGGAGAGGGCTCCTCCAGGTGTAGTACGCGCAGGCTCAGCACCCGAAGACTCAGCACCCCCAGACTCAGCACCTCCAGGCTCCGCACCTCCAGGCTCCGCACCTCCAGGCTCAGCACCCCCAGGCTCCGCACCTCCAGGCTCAGCACCCCCAGACTCAGCACCCCCAGACTCAGCACGGGAGTCAACAGCTACCTCGACAGGCTCACCCGGGTCTACCTGGGACACACCTGAGGGAGCGGCACCCTGAGGGGGGAGGGGGTCTGGTACCTCAGCACCTGGAGCGAGGAAGAGAGGCGGGGGGGGGAGCGGGGCAGTGCGGTAGGGGAAGAGGCGGTAGAAGGGGACGGACTCGTCAAAAGTGACGTCCTGAGAGGCCAGAACCCGGCGCGAGGTGACGTGGTAAAACTGCCATCCAGGCGCGTCAGGCACAAAGCCAAGAAAGACACAGGGAACGGCGCGACGCGAGAGCTTGTCCGCGGACGTGTCGCGGACAAAAGCTCGAGATCCCCAGACCCGGAAACGCGACGCATCGCCAACCTCTCCCGTCCACCGCAGAGTCGGGGAAGTCTCCGGCAAGGAGACACGGGGCCAGAGGTTGAGCTGATGCGCAGCGTATCGGACCGCAAACGGCCACAGAAAGTGGGGAGCAGCCGCATGGGTCAGGGAGGTACGAGCGACCTCCATGACTAGGCCAATGCGGCGCTCAGCGACCCCATTCTGCTGCGGAGAGGCCGGAAGCGTGAACGACTGCTCAATGCCGTGCTCAGCACAGTAGGCTGCCAAGAGGTCGGAGGCGAACTCACCACCTCTGTCAGAGTGCAAGCGCAGGACAGGAAAGTCCGAGTGAAAGCGCTTGCCTAGCTGGAGACGGGCTCGGCTGATCCAGGGGATCAAAACACCAGGGACGTCACCCTTGGCACGCAAGGGGAAGACCGTGGTGTAGCGCGAGTAGTCGTCAACAACTATCAGGAAGTACCTCTCCTGACCCTGACCACGGACGCGGGCTGGGCCCCACACGTCCATGTGGAGTGTCTGCAAGGGAGCAGTCGTCGGGGGAAAGGAGGAGGAGTGAGGAGCGGCGCGCTGCCGCCCCTCGACACAGGGAATGCAGTCAGGAGCAGGGGAGTCGGGAAGGGGAGGGAGCACCCTGGGAAGACCAGCAACAAGGTCCCGTTTGTGCATGGCCCGAAGGCGCTGCACAGACGGGTGACCAAGGCGGTGGTGCCAGAGGACAGTCTCATGCGCCAGAGAGCGACACGAGCAGGGGGCGGACAGCTGACCTGACGCAGACGCAGACGCAGCTACCTGAGGGGACTCAGTGGTCAGTGTGTACAGGTCCGACCCCGGCTCTCGAGTGAAAGTAGCCAGGTGGCGGCCCGTCCGAGCACACGTGCAGTGTGTCACACGCTCGTAGGCAGGGGTGAACTGGTGAACACCCCCGTCCTGCAGCGCACAACCTGCCACCAAGTTCGTAGAGAACGAGGGGAGGTAGAGACCTGAGAGCGTGCCGGACGGAACCGCTGGACACGGAAGTGTAGTGGAGGAGGTCGCAATGACCGGACCCCCAGAGGGGTCAGCAAGAGAGACAGCAACCGGCCGAGCTAGTGGCTCAAGGACAGTGCGGTCACGGAAGAAAGAGCGAGAAGCACCTGAGTCCAGTGTGAAGGTGTGCAGTGCTACAGTCGACTCAGTACCAGGGGGCACAGACTCACTAGCACCTAGAGCAGCAGCTGCAGCAGGACCTGTGGGAGCAGACACACTAGCACCTAGAGCAGCAGCTGGGCTGGCCTGAATGCCCGGGTCAGGCGGAACACGCAAGTACTGGGCACCCTCTCCACTAATAGACATCGCATACATAGCAGTGAGAATAGCATCAAAGTCTAAAGCCCAGATATCAACACCCTTCTTTTCCAGCTCAGGCCAGCGGGGGAGCTCAGTAGACCCAGGAAACTGGATGCGCCACGCGTCAGTCAGGCGCTGGAAGCAGCGCTGCGTGGGGTGCGGCCTCCCACATGGCTGGCCAGTGCGGTCACCAGTGCGGATGACGTACGTGCAAGTGTACCCACGCTGCGCGTACCACTCACGGGCGGCCTGGAGGGTCGGGGCGTGCTGCTGACTCTGGCCACCTCCAGCGTCTCCACGGCCACCACCGCCACCGCCACCGCCACCGCCTCGGCCACCTCCACCCCTGCCACGGCCACGACCGCCACCGCCGCCGCTGCCACCTCCGCCTCTGCCACCACCCCCGCCGCCGCTGTCACCACCCCCACTGCCGCCACTAGCCTCTCCAGACCCACCGCCACCTCCACTGTCTCCACCCCCGCCTCCCCCGCCTCCACCCCCACCCTTGCCCCCCCTGCTCTTGCGGCGCCCGCTCGAAGCAGACGCAGCCCCGACCTTCTCAGCACCAAGGAGGTCGACAGCAGCAGCAGTGGCGACAGAGGGGAGAAGGGGGGAAGGGGAACACCCCTCGAAGAAGGGGGTGCGGGGCTCGCCACGAGAGGCACCTACGGCGACGATGCTCGCCTCAGCTGCAAGTAGGTCCTTCTCGAGGAGGGCAATGGTGAGCTCAGTAGGGGAGCGAGCTAGAAAGGAGTCCCTGACTGTGCGCAGAGAGTCAGGGAGGCGGGTGACAATGTGGTAGAGGGTGAGCCAGAGCGGGGGGGGGTTGCTAGCAAGGAACTCGGCAGGCATAGCAGCGCGAAAACGGGCCTCACTAGTCTTGAGGTGGGTGATGAGATCAGCGACAGTGTGAAAGGAGGCCAGGTCGGGGAACAGGTAGGGCAGGGAGAGGCGGCCTAGGGTGGCAGACGCAGGCGAGGAGTAGCGAGCAACTACGGCTGTGTACAGTTCCTTAGCAGTCTTGCACTGGCCGAAGTGCTCGCGCTCATCTAGCGGCAGGGAGTTGCGGATAGCAAAGCGAGCGTGTGCGTCGCGGGTCTGCCACTGGGAGCGCAGTGTGCTAGCAGCAGAGGAGTCAGGGGCAGTAGCATGGCCTAGGGCGTGGTCGTACAGTGAAATGTCTTCCTTGGCAGTGAGCTGTAGGAAAAGGTGCAGATCATCGAGCCAGGTGTCAAATTTCACTGGGCGGCCCTCAGCGTCGAAGGCTAGAACAGGAGCAGTAGCCATGGTAGCAGGAGGAGGAAAAGTAAGTAATAAACTTGGCAGTGACAGTAGCAGCAGGGCAAGGCAGGGCCGGGGCAGTCGCGACAGCGGCGGCAGTTGCTGCAGGTTCGGCTACAGTAGGGACTGCAGGGCCGGCGGCAGCCGATGGAGTAGACTCGGCGGTTGCGGCTGCTGCAGGATCGGCGGCGGCTGCTGCTGCTGGGTCGGCGGCGGCTGCTGCTGCAGAGGCAGCGGCGGCTGATGCTGCTGTAGCTGCGGCGGCCGCTGCTGTAGATTGCGGCGGCTGCTGCTGCCGTAGATGCGGCGGCGGCCGCTGCTGTAGATGATGCGGCAGCTGCTGCTGCTGTAGATGCAGCGGCGGCTGCTGCAGAAGATGCGGCGGCTGCTGCTGCTGTAGATGCAGCGGCGGCTGCTGCAGAAGATGCGGCAGGTGCTGCTGCTGTAGCTGCAGCGGCGGCTGCTGCAGTAGATGCGGCGGCTGCAGCTGCTGTAGATGCAGCGGCGGCCGCGGCAGGAGAGGCGGCGGCGGCTGCTGCAGCAGTTGCGACGGCCGCGACTGCAGTCTCTGCCGCGGCTGTTGCTGCAGGCCCGACCGCGGCGACGAAGGCGCGGGGGGTCGAGCGCAGCACACAAGGCGCGCGGGCAGCGCGACGGGCCGCGCGCGAAGAAAAAAGAACCGCGCGCGCTGGCGGCTAGCTAGGCGCGCGTGAAAAATGGCCGCGCGCGGGCTGCTGGCTGGTCGCGCGCACGAAATAGGCCGCGCGCGGGCGGCTAGCAGATCGCGCGCGGTAAAAAAAAAAAGATGGCGCACTAGGGGCGCAATAGGAGGCGCACTAGGGGCGCAATAGGAGGCGCACTAGGGGCGCTTGATAGGTATGTAGGTAGGTAGGTAGGTAGGTGGGCCCTTAAGAACGGTCCTAGGGAAGGACCTGCTCTGAAACCATGTCAAGATTACGAGACTGGAATGGTTGAACTAACAGAGAAATCAGTACAAAATAGCAAACCCTAGAATTGTGTACCCCATATAGGTTAACCCACTGTAGCCTAACAAACCCAACATGTATAATGTTTGACAAGTATACAAGACAAGTCATCTACCAAAACATTCAGAACTCCTAAATATACATAGTATGCAAGACAAGTCATCTACCAACATTCAGAACTCCTACTAAGCTTGAGCTTGACTTGTTGTCATCATCTTCTTGAGCTTGACTTGTTGTCATTGTCTTCTTGACCCCTCTTGGCCGCTAGAGGCAAATGCCTCTAGCGTTACACCTGGACACCGCGATGAGGTGGAGGTCATTCGTCCAGGGCACCTGTTGGAAAAGAGGGCAGAAAGATAGTAAAGCTGCCATCCGGCAGGAAACACCTCAAACTTCCACGTTGTCAGATGTCAGAAGAAGCTCCGATTGTTGCTTCAGGAGCAGCCGAAGAAGGTCGGAGCAGGTGGAGGGTCCATACGTTCGGTACGGTCAGTCAGTTCGCAAGTCCCCAGGTCACGGGATCTACCGTTCGTCTGTCAGTTCGCACGTCGCCAGGTCGCGGGATCTACCGTTCGTCTGTCAGTTCGCACGTCGCCAGGTCGCGGGATCTACCGTTCGCCTGTCAGTTTGCACGTCGCCAGGTCTAACGTTCGGTCTGTCAGTCAGCCCGTTCGTGCGTCGCCGGATCTAACTCGCCTGGCGTTCAGTCGTCACAGTAACTCCGCAGCTGCTGTTCTTCGGTGTGACCTGAGGGTGGGAAAAAGAGAGAAGAGAAGGTGATACGATCGCAGCAAGAGAACAATACAAAACAAAACAATCAAAACAAATTATAACAAAACGAGCAGAAACAATTGCAGCAACAAAACCAGAAACATAAGTTAGAACAAAAACAGAAGAGTTCTTACACCTCCTTGTCGAAGAAGGCGCCTTGTCCGCTGCGTTCATCCTCCCGTGATCTGAGGGGGGAGGAAAAGAAAGAGAGGAGAAAGGGAGGGTGATAGCTTCCGTCGTGGCTCCATGCTAAACCTGCAGCGCAGAAAAATAAAACCAAAGGGAAGTTAGGTAAAAAAAAAAAAGAACAACAACAAAGACGAAAACAACAACAAAATCTGAAAGCAGAGGAAGAGAGCTCACAGTTGCTTATTGGCGGAGTAGACCTGACCGTGGTGCTCCTCCTCCCGTGATCTGAGGGGGGAGGAGAAGAAAGAGAGGAGAAAGGGAGGGTGATAGCTTCCGCCGCGGCTCCATGCTAAACCTGCAGCGCAGAGGAAGAAACCAAAAGGAAATTACTTTTATTAAGAAAAAATAAAGAAAAGAACAACAAAGACAGAAAAAACAACAAAAGCTTAAAGCAAAGGAGGAAGAGAGCTCACCGTCACTACCTGGTTGGCGGAGTATATCTGATCGTGGTGCTCCTCCTCCCGTGATCTACAGGGGGAGGAGAAGAAAGAGAGGAAAAAGGGAGGGTGATAGCTTCCGCCGCGGCTCCATGCTAAACCTGCAGCGCAGAGGAAGAAACCAAAGGGAAGTTAGTTATATATATATATATATATATAAAACAAAACCAAAAAAAACAACAACAACAACAACAACAACAACAACAACAACAACAACAACAACAACAACAACAACAACAACAACAACAACAACAACAACAACAACAACAACAACAACAACAACAACAACAACAACAACAACAACAACAACAACAACAACAACAACAACAACAACAACAACAAGAAGGCCAGAAACAACAACAAAAACTGAAAGCGAAGGAGGAAGAGAGCTCACCGCTACTACCTTATTGCCGGAGAAGATCTGACCGTGATGCTCCTCCTCCCGGGAGAAGAAACAGAGGAGAAAGGGAGGGTGATAGCTTCCTCCGCGGCTCCATGCTAAACCTGCAGCGCCGAGGAAGAAACCAAAGGGTAAGTTAGTAAAAAAAAACAGAAAATAAAGAACAGCAACAAAGACAGAAACAACAACAAAAACTGAAAGCAAAGGAGAAAGAGAGCTCACCGTGATTACCTGATTGGCGGAGTAGATCGACCGTGGTGCTCCTCCTCCCGTGATCTGAGGGGGGAGGAGAAGAAACAGAGGAGATAGGAAAGTGATAGAATCCGCCGCGGCTCCTTGTGCACCTGAAAGGCACGATGGAAACGCCTCTTCGGTCTTCACGAGCGCTCGTTCTTGTGTACCTGAAAGGCACAATGGAAACGCCTCTGACTTCTCTTCAAGTCTTCGCGTGCCTCATCGCGGATTTTACAAGGGCCGGAAGTCACCGTAGTTTTACATCTTTGTGACTTTCCCGTGATGGATTCCAGTCACGGGAATGTCATGGTTGAAAGTCCCAGTTTGCTACGTAACTTTGCCAGTGACCACCGGGTCTCCGTAATGTCCCCCAAATGTCACAAAACCCTAACCTTTTTGTTACATGCCGGGTCACTCCATCGTGACTGTACGACCACATTCCCATCACCGTCTCCCATGTACCTTACAGGTCACAGGAACATCACACATAAACACCACCGCCACGTCAGCATACACGTGGTGTTCAGTGACAGCTCCGCGTAACAACTAGCCGACTCATGAAGTGAACGTACGCCAGGTGTTCATTCGCGTCCGCCAATTGGGTCGCGCCACTAGTCCGCACATCCAACATTTACCGGACGGCCCAGATGCAACATATCGCCCTCCACATCAACGTACCATGCTCGTCCACGAAGGGTGCGCATGGTACCTACTGTCCGTCGATAGAACCACAACTGTACAGTCAAGATATGTCGCACGCTTTCGTGCAGTTTTCGCCAACCACATGCTACACAGATCCGGCCGTTCACCCACCCAATATCCCACGGACGACGTCGCGCTCCTGCCCTCCTGTTACGTGGCCATCATCTGAACCGTCCACCTGCGCACGCCTCTATGTAACATTACACACTCACCACCTGTTATGCACGGTGACGATACGACGCCCACATCTGATCCCCCTTGCACGCTACCTCCGATCCAACCATCCTCGATGCGCCAGATGTAAAAAGCACAACGCTCTCCCTGGCGTGCAGATCTACGGCACACGTTAGCCTGTCCATCACTTGCGATACTCGTACAAGCCAATTCGGCCAATCCACGCCCATCATACATCTGCCATGACATTTCGCGTGAGACTGAACGACTACTCCCCGCCATGTAGCCATATCATTATAACAAGGTAACAACACATCCTGGCTGTTAATCTCCTCTCTACATACCTCTCCCACCGTTCAACACGCGACTCGACGTGCCGCCACATTGTACCAGGCACATCCAACCGTCCATCACGTACCCTACATCAGCAACCAGCCGTCCATTCATTTTCCACTGGGGAAAAACCGCATACCGCGCTAAAATCCCACGCCCTCATTTTCACCAGGCAACTCTGTTGGCTCTACCCTGTGCAATGCACTTGGGTTTGAAACTTAGCGTCCTCCCCTGTGGACAAATTCAATACGCATTCTTGAAAACACGCCTCCTTACGGCTTAGTCTCAAACATGTTCCACCCAACATTACACACCTCTTTCTACACAACATGCAGCAGTACGTCAAGCCACATCGTAGCTTCCCCCACACCGATACAAGCATCTAGTCGCGCACGACACTGAAGCTCATCACCCAGCCCACCACGGGTGTAGTGTTACAGAAACTTCAGTTCAGACAGAGATGGTCCCCCTCCCTCCCGCTCTCGCTGGCTGCTGGCGCTGCCGTCGCCTGGCGCTCTATGCCGCACGAAGAAAGGCGCAGGCCATGGCGACCCCAAGCCCATGAGGAAGTTGTTGCGTCGTACGCGGGCTGGAACTCATCGACAGCCGCCATGACGTCCGTCAGGGCACACTCGCGGAGGCCGTCCACGATCTGCGCGTTGACACCCGCAGAGTTGGACAGCCTTCCCTTGCGTGCCTCCCAGAAGCGGATGGCGTCCGTGACCTGCACACCAGAGGTACATGGGCAGGGTTAGGAATGTACTCTGCCACATACTGCGGCCGTGATGTTCGCACCAACTGTGTCCATTACGACTCCTTACCACGTGCTCGAGCCAGGCCATGTGGTACAGCTTCAGAGTCACAGTCCCGTTGATCATCCGCGGCTTGAACGCCGCACGGGCACAGGCCGCGAATGCACCCGACGCAAAAGGCATGCCGCGTCGGTCCGCGCTCCACTTGGATATAGCGAACACGTCTGCCAACAGTAACATCACAGCACACGTCAGTCAGCTAACCACCCACATGCGGTACACATCAAACAACATGAGCATGTCGTACCCTCCCCATCGAGCGTCATCGCAAGTCGCTCCCGGACCCTCGCCGCCGAACGTGCCCTAGGAGCCGCCCACGGGCTTTGCGAATCCCGCTCGTCGCGAAAAAAGTCCGAGTTTCGGCAGCGTAATGTCGCGCACGCGTCCTGCCGCCGCCGTTTTCCAGTCGCTCAGGGTGCGGTTGAGGTCACAGCGCCTTGCCTTTTCGGCCGCCAAAGCCAGGCTAGCGAAGGGGAGGGGAAGACTCTCGATGACGGCGCACAAAGCTGCCGTCTTTGCCGCGCTGCTCGGGTAGAACGTCATGGACTTGCTGTCCGCCGAGATGAACATGTGCACGCGCAACTGCTCGCATATCTCCTGCACTTGGCGGGGCCCCCAAGCAATGCGCATCACAACCGATTAGCTTCCTCTACATCAGGCGGCCTGAGTGTATATAAACCTACATGCCTCCAATACCACATGGCAAACATCAAAACACACAATCAGTACGTGCCTTCCATCCTTTGTTGGTCGGCAGGAATTTCAGCGCGCACTGTAGAATAGGCGACGTGGACGAGCGCTTGTGCCGCCAGTGCTCCTCCTCCACCTCGTCCTCGTCCAGGTCGGACTCCTCTGGCGTTGCGACGCGACGGGCCTTCCTTGCATTCGGCGCACTACCAAACACCCCGCGCGCATTGTCCCTCTTGCGTTTCATTGCGGTGTGATTGGCAAGCGACGCCAGCAGCGCCGTCTCGAGCCTCGCAAGTGTCGCAGCCGTGTCCGTCTGCGTTTTGCGCATAGCGTCAAACTCCTCCCTGGTAACCGGGGCCGAGTCGGAGCGCTCCTCGTTAGTCTCATCCGCGTCGTCGTCAGCGGCTGCATTCACATGCGGAAGCGCTTCGTTCGGGTTGTCGTCAGACGACACGGGCTCCGGTTCCTCCGGCGGCGCTTCGGTCTGTTCCTCCATTTCAGGCAGGTCCGATACTTTGCGACGCTTCTCGTTCTTCGCCGACCGCCCATTCCCTACAGACGACGAAGGGCCTTCCTTCCGCCTATTCTTGGAGACCGTACCACGCGACGATGAGCTCTCGCCCTCACGTGCGTCGGGTTGATTGGGCTCCGGTGATGAGGCTGCACATACATGTAGGACGGAACGTCAAAACATGTAGGCCGGACATCGAATCAAGAACCCCAGCACTTACGAACACACCAGGCTAGAATACACAAACGAGCATCAACCCACCAGGACTTACACCTATCAGAAGTAACGCTTGTCGGAGCACGTACGACCGCTCTCTTATCCCTCCCGCTATTTCCCTTCGGCACAGGCGGCCTCCTGGAAGTTCCAGGCACCACATAGTGCGTGAGGTGCTTGGGTGGCTTGGACACTCGCTGGCGTTTCCCCTCCCTGGACGCGCGGATGCTGTCGTTGCCACTGTCCATAGCGGCAGCGGATCTTGGACAGTTGGTGTCAAGAATGACGAGATTACCAGGCTTTGAGCATAGAGGGACAGTGACGCTCGTCTGTGTCCAAAAGTTAGCGGACAGTGACGTGGTGGTTGGGTCAGCAGATGGAAATCTGCCAGCCAATCCGCAGTGGACAACAAACCATATCTTGTTATCGCCTCAGTGTGGGTCTACCCGTGGCCACACGACTACCACACAAGCTCACCAACAAACGTAGCGTACATGTACCCTCGAGCTCCAGTTTCTTTGCGTCACAAGTAGGTGTACCACGACAGAACAAAGACATAATGAGATCCTTATGCCCTTGATTCATCACAGAAACAAACCACGCTACTGTTAACCTCTGCACTGTCAAGTGTTCACGACTAAACCACACATCATACACACATATGCATCAAATCTCAGGGCGTGCGCATGTCTACCGCTTCACCGTCCGACCCTTCCCCAGGAGACACTTCTACGCTCTCCCCGTCCCCATCAGCAGCCTCTCCTGGTGCATCCACACTAGTGCACAGGCGGCGCGCCAATGCACTAGACTTGCCACCCTTCTCTGGCTGAAATGGTGTGCCAGGCTTGATCCCTATGTCATCCATTGCCTTACGCCATTCCCTCCACCTATACCACTGCCGTTTGTGCACGAGGTGACGCACATCATCCTCAATGCAACCCTCCAGCGACGCCACCTCGCCCGCGGTCAGCTCCATGACCTTGGGAAAGGTGTCTTTCCTCCGTATCACGAATGCTCCCGCGGCGTACGCGTACGCCGCGTCCTCCTCCCTCTGGTATGCTCCCAGCCGAATCTGACGGCCCGTACTCGGATCGGCCGTCAACTTCGTGCACCACTTCCCGACTCGTTTTTCGAACCAGACTCCCGTGTAGTCGCTCGTGCCACCCCTCTTTTTCTCTCCAGAGCCAGCAGACTCCGTTGCCTTAGCCGATGCAGATCGTGGCTTTCTCATCCCACGGCCTGGACCCTTGTCCGGGGAGGTATCAGGGGTGTTCGGACCGTGCGTCTCATCGTTGTCATTGCGCGCCTTCCGAGTTGCGCCGATGTCATCCTGCTGTCGGCGGGCCCATATCGCGGGAACAGGGCGTAGTGTCTCCGGTGTCTCGTGCAACATCTCGGCCAGTGCCGCCTGTGCGCCCTGACGTTCCGCCGAGTTCTCCGCCGCGGACGACCGTTGGAGAAGAGGCGTCCCACAGGTGCTCAGCTCATGCGCGCACGCGGCCCGGAGCTCTGGTAGGTCATACCCCAGTGCCTTGGCGATGCTCGTGACCGCTGAGGCCAACACGAACCCTCCCAACTCCATGTTGGTTCGCTCACGCGCCATCCGTGCCAGCTCCATGCGCACGTCATCAGCCTTTGGCCACATCAGAACACCATGGTCCCCCACTATTGGAGTGGGCTGAAGGGGCACCTCAATCTCCTCCAGTAGTAGTTGCACTATCAGCTCCCCTGTGGCGAGGCTGCAAACATCGGCGCGCATGCGGCGCCTAAAGTCCTTGGCCGTCACACCGTCACATGACACCCACTTGCGTACGGTGGTGAAATCCGACTCCACAAGGTATTTAGTGTACATGCACACAAAAACACCGCAGTCCTTGTCGTTGGTCTGCTGTGGAATCACATCTTTCTGCCACGTATACATGGACGGAAAGGATCGTTAAAACGTATGCTCAATGAATCCACAACAGACTAAAAAATAGGAACCGTCAAACCAACAACGTCCCACTACTGCAACATTCCTCACCGGTATGACTATGTGCTCTGCTTCCCGGAGTTTCGCAGCAGCTTTGCCAGGGTTGTCCGTTGGTAGCTGCGACTCGTGTATCATGAGCAGTGTCCTGCGTCAAGCACACAGGTCGGTGAGGCGTATTTTCAACCTACAACCTCGTCAAGTCGATGGACAGTAGCACAACTACTTACTTCCTCACACCATCGATGATGGATGGGTCCATGGCGTGCATGCCGCTGCTGTCATAGTGCACAAGCTTGACTCCTTCCGTCACGCTGTCGGCTCGTTTCCCAGATGACACTGCCGCAAGGTTCAGTGCTACGACAAGTGAAAAGTGGCTCCTGCACATGCAGCCCATGGAAGCACCACACCGTCAGAAACGCAAGTTGGGACAGTGGCAACTCCAAAACGTGCGTCCATAAAATACTCCCACCTTGCAATGACTGGAATGACCACGTAATCCACATCGAAAATACATGGAGATCCTCCCATCGGCCAGTACCTGTCCAGAACCGTGGCGTAGACGAAAGATTTAGTGTCGAGTGGGAACCACGTCTTCCCGTCTTTCAGTGCGGTATGTCGGATGTTAAGAAGTCTGCATTGTCAGAAATAACTGAGCAGGAATGAATGAACTAGAACAGAGTTTGGTACAAGTAGTAAACCCTAACTTTGTGTACCCCCTAAGGTGTAACCCACTACAGCCTAGACAATATAAACATGCAATGTTTGACACACCCCCATAGGCACAGTGGGAGACAACCACAGGGTCACAAGACCAGTCAAAGCAAAGTAAAGCAAGCTCAGGGTGGATCTCAAGGATTCCACACAAATTCCGAGCACAAGCAAGTGGTCTCAAGACCAGTTCACATGCAGGTTTATAACAAAGCAAGAGATACAGTGATCACAACCTAGCAAAAGTAAACAAGTAGGCATATATATATAGTGATCACAGTACAAGCAAGGTCAAGAGGTAAGCAAGTGAGGCCCAGTAGGTACAAGGCCTAGTAGAGTGCAAAAGCGCTGATGGTCACAAGGCTGAAGCGCCTTGGTGAACACATCAGCAGTGTTGGCCTCCGTGGCCACGTAACGCAGACAAAGCTGACCACGCTGCTGCAGCTCTCGAGCAAGGAAGTACCGCAGAGCGATGTGCTTCGTTCTGTGCTCCAGTCTGTGCTCCTCACACAAGGCAATGGCAGCCTTGTTGTCAACGTACAGCACTGGAGGAGAACGAGGCCGCTCTCCGAGGTCGGTCAGCAGGTAGGTCAGCCAGCGTAGCTCCTGAGCAGCCATGGCTGTGGCGTAGATCTCAGCCTCACAACTGGAGCTGAGAACAGAAGAAGAGCGAGTAGAACGCCAAGAAACTGAGCCAGAGCCAAGGCTGAAGGTGTAACCCTGGGACGACCGCTGAGTAGCCTGGTCGTCTGCCCAAGAAGCGTCTGAGTGCCCTGTGAGAACAACCCGGTCTCGCCCTCCAAGCACAAGCCCCATGCCCGACGTACTGCACAAGTAGCGCAACACCCTCTTAGCAGCATCCATGTGCTCCTTCCGGTGACGGCCAGGAGCGACATAGCGTGCTAGGATGCTAAGAGGGTATGCAAGGTCAGGTCGAGTGCAGGTCATCAGGTACATGAGGCAGCCCACAAGCTCTGGATACGGGCCACTCGGCTCTACGGACTCATCCGAAGGCAGAGCTGAGAGCGAGTGACCGGTAGGCAGAGGAGTGGACTGAGGCGAAGAGTACGTGAAGCGGAAGCGCTGGAGAACCTGCTGCACCATGTGTGACTGAGTCAGGGTGATGGTGCGCCGCGCTCTGTCCCGGGTGATCCGCAAGCCAAGATAGCTCGTCAGCTCACCCAGGTCTGTGCACGTGTGTCTCCTCTGCAGCTCCGACTTCACGTGAGCGAGTGCCGCGGTGTCAGCAGTGGCAAAGACCAAGTCGTCGACGTACACAAGGATGTAGAACGGCGGCAGCGAGGTGTCGGTGCGTAGAAACAGCGACGGGTCAGCAGTAGAGGGAGCGAACCCAAGAGCCGCAAGTGTCGTCCTCAGTGTGTCGTGCCACTCACGTGGCGCCTGGCGGAGACCGTAGACCGGCCGCTGAAGCCTCCACTGGGTGCCAGGAGGAAATGACCCAGTGAAGCCAGGGGGGCGGCGCAGCCAGATCTCCTCGTGCAGGCTGCCCTGCAAGAAAGCAGTGCTGAAGTCAAGAGAGTGAAGCTCGTAGTCGCGGTGAGCGGCTATGTGCAGCAGCACCCGAAGAGTAGTCATCTTCGGGGTGGGGGAGAAGGTCTGAAAGAAGTCTACTCCCTCTCGCTGACTGAAGCCTCGAGCCACGTAGCGCGCCTTGAAGACAGGTGGAGAACCCGGCGGCCGCTTCACCCTGAAAATCCACATGCCACTGACGATGTTCGCCCCAGGAGGGGGAACCTCGTCTACGTAGGTGCCTGTGGACTTCCAGGAGGCCATCTCTGCGTCCATGGCTGTCTGCCACTGAGAGGAGTAGGGACCCGCTATCGCCTCAGCGTAAGAGCGTGGGGTCGGGATGTCTGGTGCATCCGGGTCTCCCTCAGGGGCAACTAGCAAGGACACGAGACGGGGCAAAGCAGCAGCAAGGCAGTGGAACTCCTCCTGTCTGTCCTCAAGGACGTCCGTGCCGAGGGCACACTCACCCCCGACGGACGGAGGACAGGCAGACGCAGACTCAGACCTAGCGACAAGGCTGGCAGCGTAGTCTAGGCGACAGCGAGCAGCAAAGTCAACCAACTCAGCGACCAGAGCAGACGCAGCAGAGGACTCAAAGGTCGGGTCAGTGACAACTGTAGCGAGGAGACGCGTAACAGTGGGACTGGCAGCACGACGGGAGTCAGACTCCGGGTCAGGAAGAGTAGGAAGAGAGGACGCAGGAGGAGACGGCAGCGGGACACGCTGCGGAGCAGTGGAGGGACGCAGAGTCATGTAGTGAGTGCCAGGGACAGGAGGAGGACGCTCACGTGGGACACGACGACCAGTGCGAGCAGTACGAACAGGCGACGCAGGACGAGACTCAGGCTCACGACGCTCTGTAAGACCTCCTGTGGGACCAGCGTAAGGGGAGGGAGCAGGGAGAGGCGAGACAGGCGGTAACTGTGACTGCGGCTGGACAGGCAGAGGACACTCGACGGAGGAAGGAGGACAAGGAGGAGGAGCCTGACCAAGAACCTGCTGAAGGAGCGGTACGAAGTACGGTCGCGGCCGCGCAGCGTCTCCAGAAGCAGCAGGGACACCAGTGGCAGCCCCAACGCCCGAGTCCTCAGCACCAGCAGCAGCTCCAACGCCCGAGTCCTCAGCACCAGCAGCAGCACCACCGGTCGGGTCCTCAGCACGAGCAGCAGCTCCAACGCCCGGGTCCTCAGCACCAGCAGCAGGGGCACTGGTCAGGTCCTCAGCACCAGCAGCAGCGCCACCGGTCGGGTCCTCAGCACCAGCAGCAGCTCCAACGCCCGGGTCCTCAGCACCAGCAGCAGCTCCAGTATCCGGGTCCTCAGCACCAGCAACAGCACCACCGCTCGGGTCCGCAGCACCAGGAGCACCACTACGAAGACTGCAGCGCCGCGTGTACCACTCGCGGATCACCTGAATGGGGGGGAGCTCCTGGGTAGGAGGGGAAGTACCGGGACGAGCTCCAGAAGCACCTCTCCGGAGGCGGCAGTACTCGAGGTACCTCTCCTGCAGCTGCTGGGAGGAGAGGGCTCCTCCAGATGGAGTACCCCCAGACTCAGCACCCCCAGACTCAGCACGTCCAAACTCAGCACCACCAGGCTCCGCACCTCCAGGCTCCGCACCTCCAGGCTCAGCACCCCCAGGCTCCGCACCTCCAGGCTCAGTACCTCCAGGCTCCGCACCTCCAGGCTCAGCACCCCCAGGCTCCGCACCTCCAGGCTCAGCACCCCCAGGCTCCGCACCTCCAGGCTCAGCACCCCCAGGCTCCGCACCTCCAGGCTCAGCACCCCCAGGCTCCGCACCCTCAGACGCAGCACTCCCAGGCTCAGCACCCCCAGACGCAGGACGCGAGTCAACAGCTACCTCGACAGGCTCACTCGGGTCTACCTGGGACACACCTGAGGGAGCGGCACCCTGAGGGGGGAGGGGGTCTGGTACCTCAGCACCTGGAGCGAGGAAGAGAGGCGGGGGGGGGAGCGGGGCAGTGCGGTAGGGGAAGAGGCGGTAGAAGGGGACGGACTCGTCAAAAGTGACGTCCTGAGAGGCCAGAACCCGGCGCGAGGTGACGTGGTAAAACTGCCATCCAGGCGCGTCGGGAACAAAGCCAAGAAAGACACAGGGAACAGCGCGACGCGAGAGCTTGTCCGCGGACGTGTCGCGGACAAAAGCTCGAGATCCCCAGACCCGGAAACGCGACGCATCGCCAACCTCTCCCGTCCACCGTAGAGTCGGGGAAGTCTCCGGCAAGGAGACACGGGGCCAGAGGTTGAGCTGATGCGCTGCGTACCGGACTGCAAACGGCCACAGAAAGTGGGGAGCAGCCGCATGGGTCAGGGAGGTACGAGCGACCTCCATGACTAAGCCAATGCGGCGCTCAGCAACCCCATTCTGCTGTGGAGAGGCCGGAAGCGTGTACGACTGCTCAATGCCGTGCTCAGCACAGTAGGCTGCCAAGAGGTCGGAGGCGAACTCACCACCCCTGTCAGAGTGCAAGCGCAGGACAGGAAAGTCCGAGTGAAAGCGCTCGCCTAGCTGGAGACGGGCTCGGCTGATCCAGGGGATCAAAACACCAGGGACGTCACCCTTGGCGCGCAAGGGGAAGACCGTGGTGTAGCGCGAGTAGTCGTCAACAACTATCAAGAAGTACCTCTCCTGACCCTGACCACGGACGCGGGCTGGGCCCCACACGTCCATGTGGAGCGTCTGCAGGGGAGCGGTCGTCGGGGGAAAGGAGGAGGAGTGAGGAGCGGCGCGCTGCCGCCCCTCGACACAGGGAATGCAGTCAGGAGCAGGGGAGTCAGGAAGGGGAGGGAGCACCCTGGGAAGACCAGCAACAAGGTCCCGTTTGTGCATGGCCCGCAGGCGCTGCACAGACGGGTGACCAAGGCGGTGGTGCCAGAGGACGGTGTCGTTCGCCAGAGAGCGACACGAGCAGGGGGCGGACAGCTGACCTGACGCTGACGCAGACGCAGCTACCTGAGGGGACTCAGTGGTCAGTGTGTACAGGTCAGACCCCGGCTCTCGAGTGAAAGTAGCCAGGTGGCGGCCCGTCCGAGCACACGTGCAGTGAGTCACACGCTCGTAGGCAGGGGTGAACTGGTGAACACCCGAGTCCTGGAGCGCACTACCTGCCACCAAGTTCGTGGAGAACGAGGGGAG